GGACTGGAAAGCCAAGAGCAAAGTGTCAACAGTGTTGGTTCTTCTGAAGCCTCTCCCCTTGGCTGCAAGTAGTCCAGGTCTTCACAAAGAAGACCTATATATCCTTTCTTCCTTCTGTACCTATATGCCCAATGTCATCTCCTTCTAAGGACACCATTCATATTGGATTGGATTTTACCCCAATGACCTCATTTTAACTTCATTTTTTTTAGAGACAGTATATCCTTATATAGTCATGCTCTGTGGTTCCAGGGTTAGGACTTCAGCCTACACATGGGAGGAGAAGACAGTTAGCCTGTGACAGAGAATAGAAATGGACATGTTTGATAAAAGACAAAGAAAACTCTAGGAACAGAAAGAAATCCCTGACAATTGCTTTTTACTGAGACTTACTTGAGAAGGTGATTCTATGTAAGCAGAGTTCAAAGATGAGGTGTTAAATGAAGAAGTAAGATAAAAGGACATTTCACTTCCAAGAAAACAAATTGAATATCAAAGCAGCATCACTCTATATTATATAGAAACAGCAAGAACAGAATAGGTAGTACTGAAATATCTGAAATATCATTTTCATGGCAAGAAAGACTGAGATAATCACAGTTAATGTAGATAAAACCTCATAAATAAAGCATCCTATGGAAGATACTAAATAGAGATGCTATTCAGACCATCCAATGTAATGATACTGGATACCTCTGAGAGAGCTCAAAAATAGAATGAAGATATATTTGAAGATTCAGAAGAATTTTTATTGAGATAAGTAATTGAAGCTGGGATTGAAAGAGCACAGTGTATCACAGAAAATAATTGATATAGAAAGTCTAGGACATATCTGAAGTAAGCTATAGAACTTGTAGGAGGATAGAGAATCACTTACAAGTTGGGGAGTTAGAGTTGGCCTCAGATTTCTTCACAGTATCATTGAAAACCAATAAACAATGAACTGGTGCCTACCAAGTTCTTAGGGAAAGAAAGTGTAATCCAAAATTAATATTTAGGTATAAACGCAATCAACAGATGTCATCAGTCTTGAATAAATCCAAGGATGCTGACAGCACCAATAAGCCATTCTAAAGATAATGTTTGACAGTGAAATTTAGCCACATAGGAGATGAGCCATAAGACAAACAAGGAAACAAGCAAGTAGGCTTCAGGAATAGGAAAATCACTGACAGACACACACACACACACACATACACATACACACACACACACACACAAATGCTGTTGAACATTTTATTCATACAAATATAAAAAGTACTAACCAATTATGGATCTGGGAATATAAATATACCTTGTGGTATATGATACCATATTTGTACATGTTACTCATTACAGTATTATTTGCAATAGAAAAAGTTGGCAAAAAAAAAAAGGAAGGGCTGGAGATATAGCTCAGTTGGTAGAATGCTTGCCTCCCATGCAAACACTGGATTCAATCCCTAGCACCACAAAAAGAAAAAAGAAAACAACAACAACAACAAAAAGAAAAAAAAACAAGGATCCATCAACTGGAAACAGATTTAAAAACTAGGATATCCCCAACAAAACACAAAATACCTATAAAAACTGAGGCTGCTAGATATGGATAAGGAAAAATTATCCAAAATATACTGTTTCTTAACATATATTTTTTTAGTTGCTGATGGGCCTTTATTTATTTATTTATATGTAGTGCTGAGGATCAAACTCAATGCCTCACACGTGCTAGGCAAGTGCTCTAGCCCTGAGCCACAATTCCAGCCCCAAAAATATATTGCTAAATCAAAAAGTATGGTTCATAATACTGAGAAAAAAAGAGAAATAAAAGGATTTTTTTCATTTTTGTTTCTATATGCACAAATAAACATTGGAACTACATATAAGAAAATTTTTAAAAAGTAGTTATCTAATGGGGATGGGGGAAGAGGTTAAAGAGGAACTTCTCAATGCACAACATCTTGTTTTATTTTAACGTTTTAAAAAATCTGAATATATTCTATCTTCACAACACATTTTGTGTGTGTGTGCGTGTGTGTGTGGTGCTGGCGTTGTGCACGTGAGGCAAACACTCTACCATATATATCTGAGCTATATCCCCAGCCCCAACACATTTTTTAAAAAATATTTTTTAGTTGTAAATGGATCTTTTGTTTTATTTATTTATTTATTTATATGCAGTGCTGAGGATTGAACCCAGGGCCTCACACATGCCAGGCAAGTGCTCTACCACTGAGCCACAAATCCAGCCCCCACAACACATTTTTTGAAGACTATAGGAATCATAGTTACCGAATAGAACTGAAATGTTATGAGCCTGAACAGTGATTTTTAAAAATACAATAATATAATTATTCAAAATTTGGAGTTGGACAAAAGAGATGGAAGAGAATCTATTAATATTGATCTTTAAAGATGGTATCAACAGATAATGTTTAAATTTGGAAACAGGATTTAGAAAACCCATGATTCTGATTTATTTCATAATGTCAATGCATTTCATAATCATTTAATGTGTATTTCATAATCTCATTTTTGAACTTTAAAGTATCCTTTATAAAACAGTACTTCCTGTGACAAATAAACGTTGTCATTCAATAATTCCTCCCATTTCATCTTAGTGTTTTTTCTTCTATTAAATTCAAGTAAAATCAAAATCAAAAGCTTTAGTAAAATAGCACTTGCATGATCCTATTTTGGTAAAAGTACTTTACTCATTTTTCTGCCCATCAGTTCTTATAGTTTTAAAGAAAGATGCCTGAAGCAGTGCTTGTTCAAGTTAACAATTATTTCTGGGTGGGTAGTTTTGAGATAATAGGTTTTTACTTTTTTACTTGTACTTTTCGAAATTGTTTTAATCATTTATAGTGAGTATAGATTATTTAAAATAGAATGATTTTTATTTAAGCACATGCATGAGAACACACACACATGCACATAGGAAGCAAATGTCTACCAAGATTTACAGTGATTCATTCAAACCAAATGTAGTGATTAGATAGCTACTTTTCTTTGAAAATTTTTCTACATTTTAAATATATTTAAAAGTGTTAAACTAAATAAAACAATATAGAAAGTAAAATTTGCCCTCCACTTTCACTCCAGTCCTTTTTTCAGGTTTTTGTATATCTTTTCACATCAGATACACTGTACATTTGTTTGGGTTCTTGATATCCTTTGAAGGTCTTTAGGGAACTTCTAGTTGCCACACTGAAAATTTTCACATTATATTTTGGGGTGAAGGTGCAAGGCCTTGTGCATGCTAGGCACACATACTACTACATTCTTTTTAGTGGCTACATTATATTCCATTGTATGAATATCAGTTTAAATTTCTGATAGATTCTCTTAGAGTGGTTGTATGAACGTATCTCTTGTTTGTCCAGTACTGGGTATCAAACCCAGGGCTTTTCACAGCCTGGACTCATTTACTCATTTACCACCGCAGCCCCTGAACATATCTTTACTATGAAGTCCTAGAGATCAACAAGTATGTTTTTTATTTTTTCCACTCATTTTAATTTCTTATCAAAATTCTTTTTCTCATTTATCTATAAGTAACTAAAGTCTCATTTACTACAAAAGGGGTTATGAAAAGCAGCATTTCTCTGCTGAACCCTCGAGAGATAAAGTGCTTTTAACTACTTTTAACAGCTTCCTCTGATATTTATCTCCATAATTCTAAAAAAGTTTAAAAAATTGTATAATGATATTTCTTTTTTAATATTGCTTTAGTTTAGATGGACATAATGCCTTTTATTTTTCTGTGATGCTATGGATCGAACCAGTGCCTCACAAGTGCTAGGCAAGCACTCTATCACCGAGCTGCAACCCCAGTCCTCACGATATTTCTTAATTGGTCAGTTTCCTGCTATAGCAGGTAAAGGATTTATGGTTATACCACTATTTCTGCTTAATTACTAAAGCACATGTTATTATAATTACATAAATATTGCCCATTGCCAATCAAATAGAGTACCACAAATACAGTTTCTTTCTTATATTAATTTTCTTTATTCTGAAATCTCCCTGACTTCTCTTGATCTTTTTTCTTGGACTTCAGGTACATAGGAGTGGGTGAATGGTGATCATTGGTTCAGGACACAATTTGTATATGTGTGTGTGTGTATGTGTGTGTGTATACACACCCACATATATCATATATTAGATATGTGTATGTAAGATAAATAAGATATATCTATATATAAATGCATCTTATCTATGAGTAAAATATATAGTTCTCCATTTATTTGCTTTTTTCTCCCAAACTCTTTATCACTGAGTATTCTATCAAGTTCTCCTTAATCCCCAGGCCCTTCCATTCTTCTTCAGCCAAGATTGATTAATCTCTGACCTGATAATATTTTAAATGAATTGAATAGGTACTCTCTGATGGAATAAAGAAAAAACAGTATTGACAAGTTTATAAACTTTTGTTTTCAAACTCTTTTGGTTTTGCTTTTAACTTGTCCTTTAAAAAAAATTAGTTGAAGTGATACAAGAAAACCTTGGAAGTGACAAAAAATGTTTTAAAAGTGGATAAACATTCCATGTTTTCAAGAGATCATCTAGAATCCTGTGACACAAATTTTCTTTTCCATTGGCACATCCCATTTTACAGGGAGCACACGTGGGATTACTTCTTGGCCAGTTCAGGAAATAGAGCTAACAATGATTGAATATTAATAGCTGAGGGGGGGGAAAAAGGTTATTTTACTTAATCAACCAATAATTTCATATATTATCTGCTCACTTTATAAATGAGAGAATTATAAGGGTAAATTACCTAAGATCACACAGTTAATTAATGATGTAATTAAAAGCCAAGACCAGAGGCTAGGGATGTAGCTCAGTGGTAGAGCATGTGCTTGTCATGCTTAAGGTGCTGGGTGCAAACTGAGCGTTCGCATACTCACACACGAAAATCATATTTGACTCCAATGCTCATGTCCTTTCCACTCTCCTTTCTGGTCTGTTGTCAACAAACCTTACTACTATATTGTATTTGTTTTCTCTCTTAGTGGATGAGTGTTCGTCTGACTACACAATTGTGCTTCCAGTGATTGGGGCCATCGTGATTGGCCTCTGCCTTGTGGGTATAGGTGTCTATACAATCCGCCTAAGGCGTCAGTCATCTGGATACCAGAGAATCTAATTGGTGCCCAAGGGAAATGGAATTTAGAGAATCGTTCATCGTTTTCAGTATGTTGGGGGCTTAAGGTGTGGGTTCTTCCAATGATGTAAACCACCATCTTCCTCTAAAACCAAATTGTGATTTAAGTTCAAGCAGCACATTTTCTAAATATTTCCAAATTTTTCACAATTTCTAAATATTGTTCATCTTATGACTTAGTGTTTAAGAGTATTTTCTAGCTTTCTTCAGAATATTGTAACCAAAAACAATTGAGATACGTTGAATCAACATAATGCATGTAAAGAGGGTGTGTGCCTCCATATTATAAAGTGTCCATTGTAATTAATGCTACCTGTGTTTGCATTGAGAATTTTATTTTCCCCTAGATCTTTTCCAGGTTAAAAAAAAATGCCTTTGCTTTGTCTATCAAATGGATTTTCAGTGCTTACCATCTGTGTTTATTTGATGTACATATGCCTTATGAGATTTACCTCCTTTTTAAGTTTAAATTTTCAAAAAGATCATCAGAACGTATCTCAGGTTGTCTAGGTTTTTGATGTGAGACCAACATTAAAATCTCGATGATTGCTGTTCCAGATTTACTAAATACTACAGACAACAGAATTAAATAAGCAAGTAGCAATAACCATGGCCCCATGAAACACATGTGTCAGACACTAGGCTAAGGCATTTACACACATCTAATTTAATCCTCACAATTTACAGATTAAGAAACTCAGATTTAAGGGCTACAGATCACTTAAATACCGTGCGCTTAACAAGTGGCAGAGCCAAAATTGGAATTCATGTTGGTCCAATATGAAGGTCTTTGATATTTTCATGGTACCAAGTGGCCTACAAGAATAATGAGACTAAGTGCTTCTCACACCTCCCACCCACATCTGCTCCATTTCTTCTGAGGAAATGGATGAACCCAGAATCATGAGACATTAGGGTACATGAATTGCAGATAATGAAATAGTCCACTTTTAATAAAATTTCCCAGCCTCCTGAAAGAGACTGAGGAGCTCTGTAAAACATGCGCCAGTTTCCCACTTTTATTGTTTAGCTGTGTCTGTAAAGATGAAGGAAAGCAAAACACTTCTCCAAGTTCCTTTTATTCAAAAACCAAGACTGCAGACCAAGGAACGATTTTTCTTTTTTGAAGGTAGATATCGCCCTCTTGTGGTAACATTCTGCTTCTGCATGTTGTAGTCATTTTATTCTGCAGTTCACTTTATTCTGCAGAGCAGCCAAAAGTAGTATTCCTGCTGGGTTTTGCTGCTAAGGAAAGGAACAAAATCAGAATATTAGCAACAAAGACCACATGACCCTACCCTCATGAGCAGAGTGGCATTCAATTCAACCTAGAGAACATACTGACATTCCTGACTTGTTCCCTTGTGAATCCACAGGATCAGTAAGATCCTAACTTTTGTCTTAATGGAATATTAAGTGTATTTAAAGATTTTGTAATAAAATTTTATTTTGAAGATTTATTCATGTCATTTATTTCTTGTAATTAGTTTTTGTGCTATTTAAATTTTTCTTTCTTCTTATTTTTTAATGGGAATAAAATGCAGGGGCACTTTACCACTGAAGTACATCCTCAGTCCTTTTAATATTTTATGTTGAGACAGAGTCTCACTAAGTTGCTGAGAATCTCACTAAGTTACTAAGACTAGTCTTGAATGTGTGATTCTCCTGCCTCAGCCTCCTGAGTCGCTAGAAATATAGGCATGTGCC